CCCTACGTGCCTCAGATGCAAGAAGGGTGCCTCATATCACGGAGGGCACAACCGTGCTGACCCACTGTGTATCTTGCATGGCTGCCTCCGAGAAGATGCAAAGGGTATCCAGGAATTTCTTCGCCAAAAGAAGATCGACGCAGCACTACGTGACTCAGACTCCCAGGGGGAACGACCCTCGACTGCACCTAAGCCTCTTCCAGTCGATCCGGGGGCGCACCCCAAGCCAACGAAGCTATGCCTACGATGCATAAAGGGAGAAAAAAGCCACCACCGACATGAACCTACAGCAGACAACTGTATTCTTTTTGGTGTGGAACAGCCAACGGCAGCCAAAGCCAGAGAGCTACGTCTTCAACAAGATATACAAATGGCGCGGGACGAGGCCCGCACTGCCGCTGCTTTGAGCTCCACGACGTCCACTTCTCCCCCCCTCCCCTCTCCTCCCCCCCCTCCCCCTCCTCGACAAGCCAAGAAGAGACGGAAACATCGTCTCGAAAAGCCCCCACAGGAGGGCACTCCTTGTGATGAGGACGAAGAAGATATGGAAGACCTGCTCCAGGACCCCCTACAGCGACTCTTCGGCATGTTCACCCAGGACAAAGCTCCTGCGACGGCAACAAGGGGAACCTCCTCTGCGGCTTCTTCCAGCACGGAACCGCCATGCAATAGCCCAAGTACAGGGGACCCGACCCCTTCACAAAGACCTCAACCAGAGTGGGTACTTCCTCCACCAGTCAGGCCCAAGACAACACCGAGGTCGCCAGGAGTCGTTCGGGGACTGACCCGTTTGGAAGCTAACGCGGCACCTGCGGTCCCTGGGCGAGGACCCCCACTACGAGCTGCACAGAACCTAAGACCTGGCATATCAGACGAGCACGAGAGGGAGAACTTCCTCGACGAGGCGACCACCAAGCTCCTCTACCAAGGGGGGAACCCCAAGCAAGACGTGACCGACCTCCTCGACACCAGAACCGAGCCCCACGTCACGATGGCACATGCGGTGGACCCTGCTTGCCGCGACAACGACAACCTACCGCAGCGGGGACTTCNNCCACAGAAGACATCTTCGAAGACGAGACCTACGTGGCCGGGGGGAGTTTCATGCTACTCCAGCCCCCGGAAACTGCTCCGGAGATGTTGGAACACAACTGCGATGAGGATGCGGAGCACTTGGACCAGCTGTACAACTACTACGAGGACAAGGACAGGGACGGGGACGAAGACCAGGGCACCCAACACGACGGGGGAAACCACCGTGACGATGAGGAAGCAAGTGACTGTAACGATGCAGACAGGGGAGTACCTCTTCGACCACCTGAACCGGAAGGCGTCCCTTCTGCTCTGACTCCAAGACAGCGAAGCAGGCTACAGCAGCTCCTCGAATCGGGGCGAATTACCCGTCTTTCAGAGCATGAGAACGACGCGGACCTTTGGGGGCGATACAGACGAGACAGCAAGGACGCGTACAGGGCCCAGAGGAAAAGGCAAAGACAAGCGGGAGAAAGATCTCCCGACAAGCAG